ATAACCATGTGTACTTTTCCAGGCAGAATTAACTGTTTTTGTGAGCCAAGCACTTTGCCCTGAGACTGCTAGAATGAGACGTTGTGTATTTATGGCATTGTGCAGTCAGAGCTTTACCACAGAGCCTTCCAACGCAGGTCTGGGGAGAGAATGTTAGCTGCTGTTATATTTTGGAGCCCAAAGCTCTGGGAAGGGGAACTTGGGCTTCAGAAGCAGCTGTTGTTATCTGTTATAATGAATATAGATCTGCAGTAGCGTTTCTTGTTGCTTCCTATGGACGTGACCTGCCAGTTTGCTTTGAGTTGGAGACATCAGCTACTGTGAGCAATTCCTGCAGTCTCTGAAGAGCCAACCTATCTGTCTGAAAACGGGAGGGAAAACCTGCCTTTGCTTCTAAATTTAGAAACAATGGGGGCTGGCTGCTCTCTGAAATGGATTTTAGTGAGCTAATTATCCATTTAGATAAAGCAGGTCCCCTGCGTTGTCTAATCAGATGAAAATATCTGCATTACAGATGGTCCTTTCCATTCATTATTCACTCACTAAGGAGATTAAATTTCTATGTGTGAGAGAGAGCACTGTGGGGGTGGGTACACTGATTGGAAGAGACAGAGTGCATCCCTACTGCTGCTGTTGCCATCTCACACTGACAGGCTGTGGTTTTCCTGTGTGACCTCGACCGTACAGCATTCTGTACTTAAGCTATGCAATAACCCATCAGAAGCTGGCTGTGTAGCTGTTTAATTACCCGGGAAGAGCTCAAATTTCCTTACCGGTTCTTGTTCCAAATGAAACTTGGGGATTCTTGTTTGTGCCACTTGTTTTGGGTACTGTTGGGAGATCTCAATTTGAGAGTGATTTTGGGGATACTTGCGTTCTCCCTTGGGGCTGGTGAAGGTCAGTAGCACTACTAGGGAACTATGACCTGAGGGATGATGGGTGGTTAGCTCTCTTCACTTCCCAAAATAATAATTAAAAAGCATCTCATACAATCAAACTTTGCAGCAGGCAGTTCTCCCGCCTTGTTGGCTGGAGGGATACTGCTACAGTAGGGATATAAGTCCATAAATGGTTTGACAACGACTAAGGGAGGATATGATTGAGGTCTATAAAATCATGACTGGTGTGGAGAAAGTAAATAAGGAAGTGTTATTTATCCCTTCTCATAACACACGAACTAGGGGTTACCAAATGAAATAGGCAGAGGTTTAAAACAAACAAAAGGAAGTATTTTTTCATACAGCGCACAGTCAACGTGTGGAACTCTTTGCCAGAGGATGTTGTGAAGGTCAAGACTATAACAGGGTTAAAAAAAGAGCTAGATAAGTTCATGGAGGATAGGTCCATCAATGGCTATTAGCCAGGATGGGCAGGGATGGTGTCCCTAGCCTCTGTTTGCCAGAAGCTGGGAATAGGTGACAGGGTATGGATCACTTGAGGATTACCTGTTCTGTTCATTTCCTCTGGCGTACCTGGCATTGGCCACTGTTGGAAGACAGGACCCTGGGTTAGATGGACCTTTGGTCTGACTCAGTATGGCTGTTCTTATGTTCTCATGCATCACATAATTTCCGCACTGCTTTTAAATAAGTGGTGGTGGATCACTGGTGCAGAGTCCCCTTCCTTGCTTCCATATTGAGAAATGTACCAGTTACCTACTAACTGGAGATAAGAAACTTTTATAACAGTGGTTCTCAACCAGGGGTCTGAGGCCTCCTGGGGGGCTGCAAGCAGGTTTCGGGAGGCGGGGGGGGGGGCAATGAAGCAGGGCCAGCATTAGACTCACTGGGGCCCAGGGCAGAAAGCTGAAGCCCTTCCACATGGGGTTGAAGCCTGAGCCCTGCCCCCCCGAGGCTGAAGCCGAAGCCTGAGCAATGCAGCTTTGCGGGGGCCCCTGTGGCATGGGACCCCAGGCAATTGCCCTGCTTGCTACCCCCTAACACCGGTCCTGGCTTTTATATGCAGAAAACCCGTTACTGTGACACAGGTGGGCCGTGGAGTTTTTATAGCATGGGGGGCTCAGAAAGAAAAAGGTTGAGAACCCCTGTTTTATAACACAGTTGGCTATTTTTGTAGTGTAGATGAAGCCAAAATGACTACCTCTTTTAATGGCAGTTTCCCATTTCTGGTGCGGATTTTACCCAAGCACTGGCTAAATGTGGGTTAGCTTCTACAATACAAAATAACCATGTTTGAACATGGTTCGCTTGAATTATAATATGGCGGCTACGTGGCTGGGTAGACAGGAAAAACATTTTCATGTTTAACCCTGGTATGTGGCTTATCAGAGTTAAAACATAATTCCTTCATTTGGTTAAAACACTCTTTTTCTGTTTGCATGGGCAAGATGAATCGATATACGGTTAGGTCACAGCCCTTTTTACAGGGACCTGAAATGTAATCAGTTTAAATAAATAAATAATGTAAACATAGTTTCAGATGCTACTTCCAGCCCTGAGTCCTCCAACTAAATGGTTGGCTTTATAGTCTGTGCTTTCTCTCGGGGTTATTCTTGGAAAGGTCCACACAACCAGGAGAAACTGACTAGACGTGGGGAAACCGTGAAACTGACTCAACACACATTGATGTCAAATGTACAAAGTAAACAGAAACAGAGACTTGTTTTGCCCTCTGTCTTTTAGTGAGTCATTTGAGATCTAACCTGTAACAATGATAGATAAGATTTTCAGACAGAAGTGTGCAAGTCTTTCAGACAATTAAATTGAAAGTGTCCTTTTAGGTGGTGGTGTCAGAGCCTAAAAAATGTATGTACTTAAGTGTGTGTTTGACCAATGTATTTACCAGCCTCTCTGGTGTCGCCTGATTGTTTTAGCCTTTAAAAATGTTCAGGAGTTTTTGGCTTAGCTCCTCTTCCCATCTGATTCCAATTCCTAAAATGAAGTTTATTCTGCAATAAGAGAGCATGGATTTAAGATAGAGTTAATCTTCTATTTAACAGAACTGAATGATTATAAAATGGGTTTGTAGGCATTGTGCTTACAATGAGTATTTTAGCCTAGAGGTTAGAGACAGAAATGATAGCTGCATTTGCACTTTGGAGTTCGTCTTCTGACCAACTGCTTTCATTTATAAAGCTTCTAATTTAGGGCTGTAAGAATCTTATTCACTCTCTTACCTTGGAGTCTGATTGATGTTTATCCCCTGTTACACACTCTTATTGTTGCTTACTGTAAGATTTTGCAAACTCCTGCCCTCTACAAGTGGAAGGGATCCCAACACTGTTTTAGTTGCTGCGACTGTATACCACCCGCTGTAATACTCACTGTGAATTACTGGTGTTGGGAATTTTTGTGGTGTCATCTCCACATCAGGAAGAGAGGACTACTCTATTGCCCTGTTTATGCTTGGGGAATTTTCTAAAAACTTCCCACCTCTGACAACACTGGCTCAACTCCACTGGTATTAGTGATGTTGGGCACCTTAATATAGAGAAGCTGCTGGTGTTTCTAACATCACATCGTTTAGATAACTCTGCACAGAATTACATAATCATGTTAAATATGCCGACAACCCATCCAGCGCTCCCAACATTAACACCAAGGGGAGCTGTGCCAGTATTAGCAATTCTGGAATTCTTTTTAGAGACTGTCCTCAGTGTAGACAAAGGTCTATGGTGGTCTTCCTCAGGGATAAGAAGGCCTTAAATTTTGGTGGAATTGGACTTAGACTTGAAACAAATCACAGAAAATATAGACCTGATATTTTACATGAGCCAGTAGATATTCAGTAGTAGAACAGTGTCCAGTGGACTCTGCTAGGGATCTTGAGTATAGCGAAACTCTGTTTACAATGAAATCGAATAAAGGTTCCGTGTTTCAATGCTTGTAGTGTGCAGACTGCAGTTCAGGTTCCATCAACTCAATGTGGTGATTTGGGAACAGAAGTAACTTTTATTTATTTATTTATTATTTATGATAAGGTTCTATTGTATTCAGGGAGGCTTGAATTTTATAGGAATCGCTCCCAGACTGACACCATATGTAATACTGGTGGCTACAATTTCTAGAAAATCAGATGGCAACTCAGGCAGGCTGAGATAACTAAAAGGCTATGACAGCAACAGTAAAGTATTAGCAGTTTGGATTTGGACCGTGAAGTCTGCTGTCCAAAGCAAGCAAATTGTTCATTGGTACTTGGCCTGTGTAGGTGTAGCGCAAACTGTCCAATTTTAGTTTCGTTGTGAACTTCACGATATTACAGTGGAACGGGTGGCCTCTGGAATTGAATATACTAGACATCTATCATAACCAGCCCCATTGGAAATACTTTCCTTAATTAACCAAGTGCAGCTATTTTAGTATTTGCAATATTCCATATTGTAATTTCACGGAATACTACAAGTTAGTCTTTCAAATATCAAGGTAACTTAGGGCAAGTCTACATTAGAAGTGCTACATCGGTGTAACTGTGTCACTGTAGCGCCTTTGGTGAAGATGCTGTATGCTGACTGCAGTGGAAGTCAGTGGTTGCTGAAGATGCTCAGCGTCCCTGAAAAATCAGGTACTGGGGGTGTCAAGGTGAGCACCCAGCCATTGAGGAAATCTAAACTAGTGGACATGTTTGCAGATTTTGGCCTAAATCTTCATGCTTCAGTTCCCCATCTGTAAAATGAGAAGATGTGTTCATTTAGAGTATGTGATGAGCTTGGGTACTGCAGTGATAAGTCAGTAGAGAAGCCAATGAGTCAATAAAATCTTTTGTGGTGTTGCAATATTTGGATGGTGGGCAGTAACTGATTAGCTCCTCCTTGCGGGTAAAAGGACATCTGGATATAGGGCAGTGGAAAGGGAGGTGTCTCCTTGTCTTGGGGAGTGAATGGAGTTGTTTGAAAGGATGTGGGGTAGTTTTCTCCCTGAGGCATTTCCTGAAGATTTCAAGTGGCCTTATTCATAACCAGCATCACTGAGTCTAGTATGTTAGCCTTGCCATGTACAAAGCTGAAAGAGACATTCAAATTTTTGTCTATTTTTTTTTTATAGCTGGAAAGAGGTGACTTCCTCTCAGAAGAATGGAAAGAAAGAATTGCAAACACAAGGTACAGTAGAACAGTTGCTTGTGGCTTTATGAATTTGTAATATTTGTCAGTGTATCATAATGGAAATTGGGAGAATGGCCAACTCATAATACAGAATTTCCATAGCTAATATTTAAAGCATATATGTGAGCTTCCATGCTAGCAGTATGGGGAGCCTGATATCTGACTGGAGGAATGGGTTTTCATGCATTCTCAGAAGTATTAATTGGAGTTCCCAGCATAAATTCCTCGTGCACCGCTAGAGTAGACCCCTTCTGTGTTTGCATTTCCTTCAGTCTGTCAGTGACTCTTGCATAAGCACCAGCTTGAGTGGCTGGTACAACTGCTTACCTTGATAGTAAGGCTGAGCGAATTGAAATTGGGTATTCTGTTGCATTGATCCTCTTGGATAGTTGAATATTCACCCAAACTGAAGATCTGTATATAGAGATGGAGTCTTTTTTAAACTGCAGCATACTGCTGCTGAAGAGGGAAATGTCACGGTTCAAAACACTCCTAAATTTTTGTGAAAGGTTTCATGGTCATAGGGCCTTGTTAGTAGATACTAATCATGAACCACATGATGGATAGAAAAGAAACATTTAATGGCAGATCTGCTCCTAGACCACCCCCTTTCTTGGAGAAATGGAAAACAGTTGACAAAACGGCTCATTGAAAATCTTCAGGGCTGTGGCAAATTATGGACCGTTTCCAAGACCATGTTTAAGAGCACACTCAGGAAAGGCGTCTGCCAGGCTGAATTTTGCCTTATTATGTATCCCAATTAGACTTCTTGGGCTGCCTTTTAATTTGTGGGCAGACTTATCCCAGCCGTGCAGTATGGTGTGGTTTTGCTTTTGCTTGATTAGTTGTTTGCATCTTTACACACACACACCCCTCTATACCCCTTCCAGCTCTCTTCCATTTCTTTGGAACAGTTTTTAATATAGGCTTTAGGTTAGAGCTCTGCAACCCGACGGAACCTGATTTCCAGTGTTGGCTCGGGTGGGGCTGGTTCTCCTCCGGCCCATGGGGTGGTGCAGCAGTGGCTACATATCCTGCTTCTGCTGGCCACTGTTACGTAGCAGCAAGCACACTGCAATGGACTGAGTGCGCTGGAGAGTCAGGGCACATCTCACTTCTGCAGCACAAGCAATGCAATGGGGGGCAGCTGCTGGCAGGAGCAGGGCATGCAGCCACTGGCTCATGCACCTATTGCCACACTGACTCCAAGGACAGGAGGAGGAGAGCCATCCCTGGGGGAGGAGGCAGCGGTAGCATGAATGCATCAGGTTCAGGTTGGAAATTGATTCAACCCTCTCGGGCTTGGGTTCAGATCAGGCCTAGCCCTGAGCAGACCTCTGCTATAGATTGTCTCCTATTGCACATGGAGACCCTGGTAGATCTGTGGCAGTAAATGATGGCTATTCTTTGTTACTTTGAATAGTATGCAGTTGATTGTCTTCCTACCAGCTCACAACCATCCCCTCCTTCCCACAAAAGTTCTTAAAGCAAAAAATTAATTTTTCATCCTCAAGCTTAGTCATTTGAGTTTTTGTGAATGCAAATTGATCAGCATCTGCTATTTAAAGATTTTTTTGATTGATCAATTGCTATTTTGGCCCAGCTCAATTTCCTAATAAAGTGAAATTTCCCCCTTCATTTTCTGTTGTAACCAGTGTGAGCGTCCTAGGTGATAGCCTTCATGATGATAGTAGCCACTTGAATTTTTAAGAGCACTCCTAGCTATTTCGTTTGGTTAAAGGGTTTTATGATGCCATCCCCGATCCAACAGCATCACTTACCTGATCTAAATTGTGCTTCTAACAAAGCAGATAATAATAAGAGTTCCAAAAGTTCAAACTCTTAAAAATGCATGTTCACTTTTGCACATGTACAACTCTCGTTCATATTTGAGCTCTCGCTGATGCTTAAGCAAGATATGTGGCATTTATATTATTCATACTGTCTGCACTTGTGGTTTAGCAGTCTGCACTGAAAAGGCAGTAAACCAACTAAGGGGAAAGTCAAGTTAGTTTGGTCTCCAATGTGCATAGTAAATATTCCATCAGAATGAACATTTAAAAAAGATTTCAGTGGACTTTTTCTTTTCCCCTTCTCCCCTTAAAATTCTCTAGTGACTTTAATACATGTGGCCATGCTCAGGAGACTTTTTTTGCATAGGGGTGGGAAGCAGGATAAAAGGAGCCCATACTGGCCTTGCTTGCCAGAAAAGTTTCTCATATTTGTAAGAGCAGGTGTGGGCAGAACAAACATCTTTTTTTTATTGGCATAGTATTTTTTTTTTAATTGTGGCTTTTAAATAGCTTTGGCTACATCTCTTAAACTTAGTGTCCTTTAAGTGTGTGGTGTATGGAGACACCAGAAGGGGAAAGAAGAATCCAAATTAGTTCCACTTGCAAAGAAATAAATTCTTATAAAATAGATGGCAGTGGCTGAAAAAAGTCCTGAAGAACTTGATCCTGCAAAGCGCTGAATATTTTCTGAGAGGTGTCAAGGATCCTTATTTCCCACTGAAGCCAGTGAGAATAGAAAACGTTTGGAAACACAATATCCAACCCAAAGTTAAATGCTTTAAAAGTTACACCCAGTGTAACATGTGTATTCTCCATTTGTAATGTGTCCTGTTTCTTACTGCTTGTGGTTGAAGGTCTCTTTTTTTCCACTTCATGACACTTTTCATCTTTACATGGCCATGTCTTCTTGCAACTTGTTTGATTTCTCTTTTCAAGGCTTAAATATTTTTGGGGGGCGGTGAGCCCCTTGCAAGATTAAATCCCTCCACCACGAAAGACCTAAATGTTTCCAGTGTAGGACAGAGCCGAAAACAGCCTTAGGGACAGCAAGGCTTGTTGAGAGAGAGCTAAGAGAACAAGATTATCAACACAAATGCCTTAGTATTAACCTGGTGAAAAGGCCTGTAGAATTTCACCATCATTTGTGGGGGCAGGGGGTACTTTGTAAATAAATTATTACTTGTAAATACTTCTTCAAATTACCAAAGGTATAATTGGATTCAATAGGTATCTGTCAAGATGGGCTGTCACCACTCCTTAAGTTTGATTTAACAAATGTCATAAACATGTTAGCAGTAGGTATGTTCATATGCACTGTAAAAAGGCCACCAGGCATTATGGAGGCATGATGAACATACTTTTAATATTATAGTGAAACTTGCTAGTGTAGTTCTTAACTTATGAATTCATGGTGCAGAAACTGCTGATCTGATGAATGGAAGTGTCCTAATATGATACTTTTTCATATGTAACGTTTCAGCAAATAAGTACTGTGAATACTGACTATTTATAGCTTATTACTTTGTGTAGCGTGCAAGTAGAAATTTTCTGTTTCTCGAGTAAAATAGCTATACGTCCTCAGGATATATAGCATTCTCTTGTTTCAGAACCATGAGCATCATTCATAGAATGTAGCTGATTGCATAGAGGTAGCAGTGTGTGTAAAATAAGATGCCATTTGTCTGTTCCTATTTAATAACTAGACCATTATCTTGCAGTGTTATTTTTGTGAATAATTTTGCCTTTGGTCCTGAGGTGGATCACCAACTGAAGGAGCGATTTGCAAACATGAAGGAAGGTAACACATCGAACTTAAACTCTTTTCCGTTGGTTTCCTGTTCACTGTGGGAGCTGCTGAATATTCTGCTATTTGTTTGTTTGTTCTTTTTTTTTCTGTGCAGTAGTAGATTCAGGGTTTACTAGCTGCTGCAGCGTGCTGTCTGTTCCTGATTTGCTATCTCTAGCAACCAGCCTCCAGTTTAAAAGTCTTTTGGAATCATGAGACATCCCAGAAGATCTATTGCGTTGTTTCAAATGTTCCTACCATATATGTATGCAAATTGTTTCTATGACAGAAGGGCATTTCCATGGCAGCACCTTTCATAATATTTTTTGAATATTTAATCCTGAATGCGTTTTTCAGCTTTAAATACTCTATTTATATGCAAGTTTGGCAACATCTAAAGCTCAAAGAGCTTTGTTCTGTACTTAAAATAACACTAAGATTATATTTAAAAATTCCTAACCTGCACTAACACCTTAGATCAGTGCTTCTGAAACTACAGTCTTTGTTGTGCTCTATAGAAAAACGCACTGAGAACCAAACAGTGAAGGATTGTGGTATAGATCTTTGTCCTACGAATTTGCCCACAGATTAGAAAAGATGGAGAAACCACTTCCCTTGATTAACACTGAAAGTTCTAAACCATTAATCTTTTCATCCTAGTTTGCTTTTCACACTTTACTCAATTTCACTGTCCAAAATGATTGGTCTCATTTCGTTTTGTTTAGTGACTTTTTCTTCTGGTTATTACGAACTATACCAGTGGTGGTATGCTTGGGTTCAGATGGTTTAGGGGGTTATTAATGAGGAAACTGACCCTTCTGCATCTATCTGTGGGGTTCAGATACTCTGTGTTGGTGGTGATGATGTATTTACAGTCATCTGAAGCCAGGTTGTTGGGTTCCATTCTGTTCCTTGTGGTCAGCCACCACAATGGCGACTAATTGGAGATTTTACCTCTTGTCTGAGTAAATAGACAAGGTCTAAATGGACTTGGAGACTGGACTGCCGTCTCTTCCTAAAGGTGGCCCTTCATGTCAGGCCTTAAGGACACTGGTGGCTGGGGCAATTTGCATTGCCTCTGCTCTTGCTGTATCTCTTCTGGCAGGGATAAGGTTTCGGTCTCCAAGGATGTGTTTACATTGCAAACAGAAACCTGTGGCAGCAAATCTGAGTCTGGGTCAACTGACTGGGGCTTGTGCTACAGGGCAAAACATAGGTAGTATAGTGCAGTGGAGACAGTCCCGCTTTGGCTGGAGTCTCGGACTCCAAGACCCATGCCGCTCACTGGATCTCAGAGCCCAGGCTCCGGCTTGAGGCCAGATGGCTACACTGTTGTTTTTAGCTCTGTAGTATAAGCCCAGTGAGTTGACCCAGGCTGAGAGACTCACTGCGCCGGGGTGTATGGGTTTTTGGTTTTGTTTAATTTTTAGAATAGACACACCACAAGATCAATTCCGCATGTTCAGCTAGTACTAAATTCATTAGGTGAATTGTAGTTTGAGAGGCCATGTGGTCTCATGGATTAGGCATGGCTCTGGAAGCCAGAATCTCCAGAGTTCAGTTGTACTGTGCCACTGAGCAGTCACTCAATCCAGCCATTTCTCTTGTTTAAAATGGGGATCGTTATACTTACCTATGTCACGTGGGTGTGGAGTATTAATTAGGTAATATTTGAACATGGAAAGTGTTACCGTTAAATCCCCAGGGTTTTTTTCGCCTGAGAAGTTGGGCTGTAAAAGCTAGCAGTTGGAAATGTCCAGCAATGTCATGGCTTGGCTGGGGTACTTTTAATTTGATAGTTTGTTCCTGCCCTTCAGACACGTGACAATTTAACTTGGCTGTGACAAATCTTACAAAAATATTTATTTAACCGCTCTTGTAAGGCAAATGTATAGAGTGTGCTGTCACAGTTCTAAGTAGTTGTGGAAGTGATACTTACACAGGAATATTCCCTGTGGGGCCAAGTTTAGGCATAAATAAAATAAGTAAATTCCATAACATTATAGCTGTGACCCAAACCAATCAAAGCCAGAAGAGTTGCAGTATGTTTGATTCTCTAGCTTTACTTCAGAGTTGGGCTTTCATTTGTATTTAATTTAATAGAGGCATCGTGTGCCAGTAGGTAAGGGTACTGGACTGGGAATCAGGAGACTTGGGTTCTCTTCCCAACTCTAACTGTGGTGACTGGACTCAGTGACTCAGGAGACCCTTTGCGGTCCTACATTCCTAGGACCTTCAGCAAGGCACTTCATCTCTGTGAGGCTCCCTGGTGGTATCCGGGGTTGTGAGGCACCTCAACACCACCTGCCCTTAACGTAAAGCAGTCTTGCCTGTTCCTGTGTGGATCAGTTCTTTGAAACCACCAGCCTCTGGCAACACAAGCGCTGCCTTGTGCACTGTCACTTACTCTGCACAAACTAGTGATGGGAACCCCTGAACCCTGTGAGTGTCCAGCCCCTTCTCCACTGAGTGCTCACTGAATTACCAAGCGTACTGTTCCCAAACAGGTTGTAAGATTCACCTCAAGATCACCACTTTGCTTCACACCACAGCACTTAGATACATTTATAGTGAAAACAAGAATGTCCCCGTCCCCCCCCGCAAAGATCAGAGATTCAAGTGATAGTGAGTAAGAATATTCGAAACACATGGTTACATTTAAAACAAAATCATAACACTTTCTACAGATGAAACTGTTAACCTCCTGTCTAAAGAAGTCTATCACACCTCTTCCCGCCCTCTGCTGTTCTCTTCATTTTTATCCAAACCTGGTTAAGACCCCTTTTTCACAAAGCAAGCTTGTTATCCATGTACTTCCTCAGTGAAGAGTGCCAAGGGTGTTGTCTTTATCCCTGAATATTCCAGACCAAACCTTTGATGAGTAAACACCCCCACTCGCCCAAGTCCTCCCCGTCCCCCCCCCCCGTTACTTCTCTCACAATCCTTCATTAGCATTCAGTTCAGACTGTTGGATGGAGAGCCCCTGAGAACTATACAATATTTAATTTACATTTAAACACACAATTGGATAACCTGTTTTTCAGGTGGTGATTAGCCCCTAGACACAGAATTTAAGAACATAATTTTCAGTGTATATACACGTGACTCCTTGCATAATATGCGTGCTTGGGGTTTGCAATGATGTTGCTGATCAGTGTGACATCAGCTTTTATGTGAGACCTCAGATGACACTCTTTTAGTAAGCTAGAATGTCAATATCACACTCAGGAGATTCCTTTAACCACTCTGCACCCCCTGCGTGCCACTTGCCAGTAACAGGTTCCTGGGTCACAGCCTCTGTGCCTATATTTTCCCCACTGTAAAATGGGGATAATTATACTTTCTAGAATGTTTTGAGATGTGTACATGGAAAGCCCTATCTAAGGGCTGCCTGGTGGTACCCTTATTGGAATAGCCTGGATGTTGTCCGTGGTTATTTTTTTTTATATCTTTACCAAAAACAACCCCCCCCCAAGCTTTTTTAAAGTGACTCAGTGGTGTTAGTGCAATTGCTCATGGTTGCTATTCTGGTACGAAGTATAAAGCCGTATATAGCCCCTAATTTTTCCAATGGGTTTTTGTCAAAGAGTAGTGGTAACTGGATCACTTACATCTTTTTTCCCAGGTGGCAGAATCGTGTCCTCAAAGCCTTTTGCACCTCTAAACTTTAGAATAAACAGTCGAAACTTGAGTGGTAAGATTGGCTTTTCTCTTTGCTTAAATGTGACTGTCTGGTGGTAAATATATAACTTTTTTTTTTTAAAGGGGAAAAGCTCAGTAGAAAGCTACTATTGTATGTTAAAGTTAAACACCAAGTTGACAGGCGCCTTCCAAATATCAGAGAGACATGTCACAGCTCTCGAAGTATTGATGAGACCGTGCATGTTAAAAGCTAAAGTTTGTCATCAGCACTTAATCTTATCCAGCCTGCTGCATGCTGACCAAAATGGCTCCCTCTCACAACCCCTCTGCAAAGGAGTTTACTTTCCCTAAAAACAAACTGCTATAGGAATTCAGATGATAAGGCCTCAGAGGAAATGACCTTCAAATATAGGGTACAGAGAGAAAGTGTGGAAATTCAATTACAGGACCTAATCTCATCCAATTACTAATTTACATGGGAAATATAATATCAAATAAATATGCCTGCAAGCGTTCTAAGCCTGGGCCTCATTCCAATCTTAATGGCTTTTTAAAAAAATGGTATCTTTTAAGGAAATGCTGTCTACTTAGAACTCATGGCACCAAAATCTGCATTTCCCCGACATAACAGGAAAGTGCCTTCTCTTGCTCTGTGGTCCTTCATGCATTCATCTGACCAGATTTCCCCAAAACATTTTTATTCACCAGTTTTTGCCCTGATGTGACACAGCTGGCACGGTCTGCCTCCTGTTGTTGCTTTGCTTTTAAAATCTGTCCTGTTAAATGCTTAGTTAATAAAACTGCATTGGTGTGGAAGCAGAGAAAGAACTGTCATGCATTGCATCCCCTTCCTGTCAGTTCTTTCTCTGCTTCCACATTGGTGACAGTAATGTTACCTTCTTTTAAAGCTCTTTGTAATCCAGCTTCTTTGGGACATTCTTAATTCCTCTTCTGGAGGGGGGGAAAAATCATTAAATGGGGTACGGAGAGAGGGGAGACTTTGGGACAGACCAAAAACTGTTTTAAAAAGTTTGGTTAAACTAGTGATCATACTGTCTGTATCCTAAACCTCAGATTTGTCCGTATATAATGTTCATATACATTCAGACTCCGTTGGATCAGCGTCTTTCAGCGGAAATAAGTATCTGTAATCTCTCCGACGCAGTCATGCCATTCACGCAGGCATTTGGTGGTTACAATTTATGTAGATGGGATCCAGCAGTATTCTGTAGCTAGGCTTAAGGCCTTGGTTACAGTCAAAGCTTTAGCCTGGATATGTGACCCCTTTCCAACAAAATTAAGGCCCTGTCTATACTGTTGTAGCTGTATTGTCAGTGGGTTCCTGGAACAAGTTATTTTGGAAGCATAGCTGGGCTCATTGTCCGATTGAAAGTCCTATGTAGCTACTTTTACTCCAGAGTGCTTGAGTATCTGCAAGAAGAATAAAAACAATGCACTGTATATCCTAAATATGCATTTCGCATGTCACAGATTTTTACCTAAACTCAAGAGGGATATGTGGAAAAAGTACAGAATTACTTAAAATATATAAATTAGACCACAGTGTTTCCAGGTCTATCTGAGCAGTTAATTAGCACCATGTAATATGACTGAATATATCCGCTTTAGGAAAGGATTTACTCACTGGGCATTAGGGCTGTGTGTGTGTGTATTCCACATAGATCACTTTGAAATTTGGGGGTGGGGGTTGTTAAATCCACGGAGCACCTGATCAGAGTTCCTGCGTGGACTGGCTTGGCTGGGTAGAAGGCATTCAGTGTGCTAAGGCTACCTTTGCTATGTTAAAACGCAGTTCTGAAACTGCTGGGTCACTTTTACTTTTGATAAATGAGAGTGGGAAATGGGGCTCACCTTGAATTCCTAAATGGCCTTTTTTCCTTCAGATATTGGCACTATAATGAGAGTTGTGGAGTTATCCCCACTGAAAGGGTCAGTTTCATGGACCGGGAAACCAGTTTCTTACTACCTGCATACTATTGATCGCACCATAGTGAGTATAAACATAGGCCAGTGAAACTTTCATTTTTCCCTTGGAAGCATTGTGTTAGTCTCCCACTCTGGAATTCTTGGGGTTCTTCCTTATCTTCCTTTTGCATTTAGGGATGTGCATTATGGCTCTTGGAGGTGGGGGACAGTTTATTCACACAGCTTAGTCTCTTAGCATGCATACACATATCCAAATTCCACGTCAACTTTGTTATAGTTAGCTTTTGAGTCCTTCAGTGCAGCAGGCTTCTCAAAGGATGCAATTCTGTGTAGCTCTGTGGTTGTCTGTATGTAAATAAACCAGTCAAAATACACTTACATATGAAGAAATGTAAATTCCTCTAGCATTATAATTCACTGATTCTGCTGGTGCTTTTCCTACATAATAGCTATTTCATTCTGAGTAAAGACTCTATAGAGGAAATTTAAAAAACATTCAAAGTGTGTTGTATAATAAATGTGTGAAGCATCTCATGCTAGGGCAGCAGGATACTTGATGATAATTCTCAATCTGAATTAAACTTTGAGTTGCTCTAGCATTAGCCTAGGCATCTTAAATGTGTCTGTGCATTCAGCTTTATTTTTTTGCTTCATAAACAAAGGCCATCGAAATGTAACTCTTATATTGTGGAGAAACACTTCACCTTCATGATCTGAATTTTGGTTACATGCTTGTACAACCTTGTGTTGTAAATCTGCTCTAGTTTGCCTGTGTTATAGATGTGTATGTTAAAATGGAGATAAATGTTTTATTTTAGTTCAGTACTAGAGTAGATTTGCCTCCTATTGAAAATAACCTTCTGGTGACTAGAGATATATAACACAAAGCTTTATAATAAGGATGTGCTGCATTGAAGATGATAAACCATGTTGAGGCTTGGACGGTGTCCCACTACACCACATGTTTTGCTTCTTTCCAGAAAGAATGAAATGGAAATAGCTTCTTGATGTAGCTTATCAAAGGGGGAAATTGTCAGAACATCTGCAATTTTGTACTTCTGTTAGAAATCAGTGTGGTATGCATCAGTGTATTCTGATATGTATAATGACTATCTTATCTTTCCCTTTTCAGCTTGAAAACTATTTTTCTAGTCTCAAAAATCCAAAACTCAGGGTAAGTTATGTTTAATTTTTTTTATCATGTATTCAGAGTAATGAAACATCCAGTATGATCATTTTAAGCGTTATTTATAAAGACATCAGAGGCAGATGGGGAAATATGTTTCAAGCTCATCAAGAGACAATATCTGTAGATAATTAATCACATTGGAATGAAGTAACTCGTGACTGCAGTGGTGCTTTGACAGCACATCCAAATAAAATAATAATTCTTAAAAATTTATCAGGGAAGCGTAGAGTCCTTGCAGTTTTCCTCTTGCATTGTATTTAAAGTAGTATTAAATGTTAATCACATTAACAGGCCAGATTTTAAGAATGTAATGATGGCTTAATTCTCCTGTCTCGATGCTGAGTCTCGTCAGATAGGGAGTTTTTGAAGAAGGTCCCTCTCACTCTCAGCAATAACCTCTGTCATTGATCACTGTGCTGTACTGCAGTGCCTGGAATTCAAAACTCAAGAGGTTTTCGAGACATTGTGTCTCACTAAATGGGACATGTTAAATAGTGGTGAAAGTTGATGGCTTAGATGTAAACTACACATGACAAATGGCTAGACTTTTCTTGTATCAATCTAGAAAACATCTTGCATTTGTGGAGCCTCTTAATGTCCAGCTTTAGGGTTCAGTCATTGTCCTCCAAACCTGACTTTTAATGGCATTTGAGATTGGAGTTAATGGTAGCTGTTAGGTTTGTGGGTTTTGGACTGTTGATTTCAAATTTGTGAGATTTTGACACTAAGCAGGTCAAGAAAACCCACCAAATTTTGTCTTCAAATATTTGTGAACTAATCACATAAACTATTTTTTGGCAGTTTCCTGCCTGCTAATGACGAAGATATTGAATTACTTTGAGAGTTTGAGTTTACCATAATCCAACCTGACTGACTTTGACTTAGTTCCTAAAGATATTATAGTTGGTAGAATTATCAACACATTAAACCTCATCTGGAGAGTACAAGGAAGTGTGTTTGTGGAGCTCTGTGGAGTTTCATGTCCTTAGTGGCTAGGCAGGACTTTTTCAGCTGCTTTTCATCTTGATTGTCTTATCTACAGACTTGGCTAGGATTTAATTAGGCTCTTTCAAAGAGTTGATTCATGACTCAATATGGTAAGGCCCTTAAAGATGCTGCAGTGATGCAACAATACATGAAATGTTGGTTATAGATAAGGCCACTGATGTTTTAACAGAGGCTTTTTTTAAAAGTACAAAAACCTACTCATTAGGGTGGAAAGTGTGTGGCCCTCTCTCCCTCCCTTGTGGTTGCTTATCTGCATAGATGCTGTTTAGGAGACTTCCATGGGAATATAGTGTAGCTCATAAAGCTAATTCATGTTGTCTTCCTTTTCCACCTGCTATTGTCTGGAACAGGGTAAGTCAGTGTCTTCCTGCCAGGGCCGGCTCCAGGGTTTTTGCCGCCCCAAGCACCCCCCCCAACCCCCAAAAAGCCGAGATTGCGATCTACGGCACTTCGGAGGGAGACCCTTCACTCCGAGCGGGAGTGAGGGACCCTCTGCCAAATTGCTGCCGAATAGCTGGACGTGCCGCCCCCCTCCGGGTTGGCCGCCCCAAGCACCTGCTTGCTAAGCTGGTGCCTGGAGCCGGCCCTGCCTGCCTACTAAGAAAAGATGTTCTGTCATTTATTAACATATAAGGACTAGTCAGAGCGATTATTCTTGGCTATCCCAGAGGAACTAGCTTGGCAAGATTGGAGTCTGTACTTCAAAAGGGAGAATATAGCAACGATTTTTTGGGCTTATTTGTGGATGTTTTTTAATGCCCTTGTTTAAATTGCCTTTAGGAGGAACAAGAGGCAGCTAGACGTCGTCAGCAAAGAGAAAACAAGAGCAACACAACTACTCCAACGAAGGTGCGAGAAAACAAGGTCAATTCCCTCTTGAATATTTACACAAAACCATGTTCTCTCTTTATTATCGTGCAAGCTTGCGGGCTGCACCAACAATGAAAGCTTGTCTACATAGGGAGTTTGATCTGAAAATCTGTTCCAGAAGAGCTCTCTGCTTGGATACGCTGTTCAGCAATAAAGTCACTTTATTCCAGAATAATTAGTGCTGTTTGTGAGCTCTTCTGGAATAGTTTATTCCAGAGTAGATTTTCTGGTCTCATTCACCGTGTTGACATGCCCTTACTCTTGAGTAGGGGTTCTTAAACATTTTCAAGGGCCATGCCACATTTTTAATAGTTTGGTATGTGGACCACATGCTTTCCCAGCCATAAATGCACAAGCTACCTCCCTTCCTATTGACAATTGCCTAACATCCCTGTTATAAAAGCAGCAATTGCTCATATGGAAAAGTAATAGGAGGAAAATTTTGAATTTGACTTCAGCTTTTATTTCAATGCAGTTTAGTAGCTTGAAATAAGGCTCTCCGTGAGCAGCAAGTTTTGTATGGATCAGTTTGGGAAACCCTGTTTTGTAATGGCTACATCCAGAGGAGAGGCAGTATAGTAGATTGAGCATAGCATCAGGGTGCTAGGGACCATTCTGGGTGCCAGGGACCATTCTAATCCCAGATCTGACCACTAACTCTTTGTAGCCTTAGGCAAATTACTTAATCTTTGAGTGCCTCGGTTTTCTTTCTGTAAAATGGGGTTGATACTTGCTTATTTCAAAAGGGTGTGGTAAAGATTAACTGAGATTCTGCAAATGTAAACCCCTAAATATTAGAAAGCTTTATCTCTTTAAAACTTCTTTAGGATTCTGGTGCTGAAGAAGAAAAAGTTGGGACAAATGCAGTTAAAAAGACATCCCCCTCCAAAGCACGCAAGAAAAAGCTGAGTAAGAAAGGAAGGAAAATGGCCGGGCGGAAGCGAGGGCGTCCCAAGAAAATGAACACTGCAAATACAGAGCGCAAGACCAAGAAGAACCAAACTGCACTAGAGCTTCTGCATGCTCAAACTGTGTCACAGACACCCTCATCCTCTCCTCAGGGTAAGCTGAGGAACTCAGCGGTTGTCAGCGGAAGAGCCTTTTTCCATATGAGTCTCAATTAGTGTCCAGGAAAGTTTTTACTCTTAAGAGTGAATGCTCAGAACTCTTTATTCGGAGACCACAGACTTCTAAATCTTTCTCTGTTTCGCATACCTCCTCTCCCTGTTTCCTATTGCATTGTGTGATTGTATCACCTGCTTTCCAGCTGGGATGATTGACACGCAGACAGCTGGCTGCTAATGTTAATCCAGACTTCTCCAGAAGGGGAGGCCGCAGAACAGTGGGGTTGGCAGAGTTTGCCTTCACTGATGTGTTGGGCACAAATCCTGAGTGTATTTCAAAAGCTGATCTGTTGCATGAGAGGGACTTAGCCAAGTTACTGGGTCCTGTGCTGTGGAAAACATATTCCCCGATGGCAAAGGGCATCTTCCTCCTTTGCTATGTTCCATTATTTAAAATGTGGTCTGCATTATTTTCTCCTCTAGATGCATACAAGTCACCTCATAGTCCATATTACCAACTACCTCCTAAAGTGCAACGGCATTCATCTAACCAACTGTTGGTGACTCCTACCCCACCTGCACTACAGAAGCTGCTAGGTAAGAGTTCCTCTCCTGATGCAGAGAGAATGAAAGGAGTAAATAATGGGTTGATCACAGTTTGCTGTCTGGGTTGTGGTTGTAATGTATCACATTGCTGTGATGTAAAGATTCAAGGCAAACTGAAACACTAAAGCTTTAATTTTGGGGGAAGCAAGGTATATTTTAATACAAAACAATGAAGCGCAAAATTTTGGCAGCTGGAACTGGATTGGTAATGGGATACGCAGCATTTCACCTGAGGTCCTCTAAAATCAGTACTCTGACAGCTGTTTGGCCTTTGTGAAACTGGTTGGGGTGGGGGTGGGGTGTGTCTTATTTTGTGTCCTACATAACAAACGGCCTAATATCCCCTTTGTTGGCAATTCCAGCGGGGGACTGAATGTGCCATGGCGAGACCATTTTGCTCTTAGGGATAGTCCCTTCAGAATAATGATGAGGTCCATTGAGGCATGGGCAAAGGTGGTGCAGGCTGTATATATCTTGTGGATAAATCCGCTTTAGTCTCCATTGCTTTTTAAATGCGGTATTTCACTAACACTAAAACACAAGTCAATAAAATGTCATTTTAAAAATTTGGACCATGTTGGCAACTATGTTGCTTGTTACAAGAACCGTTACACTGAAGATGCTAAATCTCTGATAACTAAGGAGAGGTTGTTCCTACCGTGAGTCTTTGTTTTGCATACATAACACTGCAGAAGGGAAGGGAGCACCTGCCAGCTCTCTTCCAGCCGCCACCATTGCCATGTTGCTAAAGTTGAAGCTTTGGTCTACATTTACTGCATTTGGCTGGGTTTCAGCTCTCATGTGGCATGAGAGAAAAGGGGTCTGGGTTCAGCAGACTTACTACTTTCCCAGACGGACACTGCTCGTCCAGAAACGACTCTGCATTATTTTAAAATAAGACAGTGCTTTAACTTAATGAATAAGGAATATGGAGGGGCAGAACTGTTTTTTCCCAGAACCAGAAAGCAAAGTAGAAAAACAAAATCAGATGCTCTCAGGGTATTGGAGGACAGTGAGGCTATAATAGTCAGGGAGTCTGTTCCAGAGGTAAAAGATGGTGTGAGGAAAAGATGTGGCGTTCTTTCTAGGGGAAGACCTGGAGAGCACTAAGATGAGTTAAAATGGCCAAGTATAGGAAGCAACAAGGGGTGAGTTCTGTGTAAGAGACGGTGCCTTGAAGGTTAGGAAGAAATTGGAAGTCAGTGAAGAGATCAAGGAATGTACTGTCATCGTGGGAAGGAATTGGTGAGAAAGATGACTTTAGCCGTGGCTTGATGGATAGACTTGAGGGGTGCATTGTGATTAGGGAGATTACAATTAATCAAGGGAAGACATGCCCAGAGCATGGACCAAGATTTTGGCAGTGAGGATGGAGAGGAAGAGGGAGAATTTTGGGGTATTGTAAAGAACGAGTAGAGTTTATCAGCTATTTAGCTGTGAAGGAGGAGTAGAATGACCCCAGGCTGGGAGACTGCAAGGATGTTGGAGCACTCTGAGTGCATTTCTATCATGATTATAATGGGTTGCCTGTTTTATTGCTCCTGCTTGCATTAAAGTCCATTAAGAAAATCCTTTTTCAACACGCACATCATTAGGGTCCATCAGCTTCCTGTCTGCTTCCTGAAAATGTGCTCTTAGAAATGTTATAACGAGGGAGCTAATCTATGTGGTTAATAGATGACGCACAGACCAGCTAAGACTCTAAGTAATATGCTACTGGAGAAAGTTCCAGGTTAGTTTTCTTAAAACATTATTTTTCCTGCAAAGGAAAGCACATTACTGGAATAACCATTCCTAGAGCAAAAGATGGTGCAAAACTATTGTATTTAAAATAATTGAGCTCAGCCTGCATTGTAACTAGGAGCTTTCAGCATTCACCAAAGTGAGCTCTAGAGCTTCAGAGTACATGTTAACCCATGCAAAAGGGAGCAGGGAGAAACTGTGGTCCAAAATATGAGTCTTAAATTGTTTTTCTCCCCTTCCTCCAAATAAAGTGGTCAATCACTCATTTGTGTTACAGACTCTTTTAAGATCCAATACATGCAGTTCATGGCGTACATGAAAACTCCTCAGTACAAAGCAAACCTGCAACAGTTACTGGAGCAGGAAAAGGTGAGTGTCTTTTTTTTTTTTTTTTTAAATTGTCTCCTGACC